TATATATATTTAATGGTTGCCTCAGTGCTGTAACCAGAGCTGGGGTCACATGATCTGAACAGAGGGAATCATGGGAATGGGGACTAGGAAAGGGGGGGAGGTGGTATGAGTGCCCAAAAGCATTCTGGGATTTTTTCTGTCATAACAGCAGGACTTAATGAGGACCTAAAGCGACACAGAACGTACAATATGCCAATGGGTTTGAAATTTGTCAAGTTACGAGATAGATTTGATTTAAAGATGCACCATGGAACTTTTCTGGTGTGGGGTGGTGCTACCTGCTTGTCTCCATGGAGATTTAATTTTTCCACAGTATAGTGTAACAGTTATCTGCCTTGAATTTATACGATAGTGATCATTTTTATTACGCAACAAAACCTTGAAAAACATGGACTCTTACTGTGAGTGGGCTCGCCTCTCCACAGATCTGAACTAAAACTAGAGTAGGCGTTTGTTTCCATGGAGATAGATACTGTAAGTTGAAGATTCCAGACCAAGAGACAACTTCAACATGGAGACAAGAGGTCAAACTGATGAGAAAAGTGTCACTGTGCACCTTTAAATCATGATTCAGCGTCTTGAACTGACTCGTGATTCTGTCCCTTTCATATTCACCACAACAATAAAAGCAGAGGTCAGGTTCAGTCCATCACAGCCAAGATGAATGACCCGCCGACTCTAGTTGTTAAAGTGTGAAATGAGATTAGACAAGAATAGATTTGATTCTGCAGCACCCAAGGGTCCTGCGTCACCCGCACAGGGGCACATCGCATTGGGATGAGTGGATTAATATTACATTTCAGAATATGATTTTAGAACAGTTCAATCACCATCACTCTTCTGGACACTTCCTACTTTTACATCGCCAGGGACCAAGGGAAATCTTTTTATATTAAGTGTATTAAAGCAAATATTGATTGTTTCAGAATTCAGTTATTAAATAAAAAATGCTTTATACTTTATTACTCACATTTACAAATAAAAATAATATCACAAGACATATTTTTGAGCAGTGTTTTTGATCGCAGGAGTCTATTTATTGGCCTGATAATTATTTCATGAATGGATTGTTCAAGATCAGGTGAAGTCCTCAAGTACATATGGAAGATTGTTGTTCGTACAAATATGAAATAATGTGGAAATATTCTTATTCTTATTTTTAACACTCTGTTTATTGTGCTTTTGACATTTAATACACAGTGACAGTCCCTAAAATAAGACATCAGACATGCCAAAAAAGGTTAATCAGCATTTCCAGCAACATGTACAATCATATACATGTAATTATATTTGCCAATATAATGTCTTAGGACCCTTATAGATTATAAATATTGTGTATTAGATGATCGTAATAATGGAAATATGTTCTTTTAATCTCAAGTCAGATGTGCAGCGCATCCAGATTAAAACAGAAGCCAAATCACAAAATCAGAAAGCAACGTGCAGCACAGTAAAAGATGAATAAAGAAGATATCAGATCTATGGACTTGCGAATGATGAAAAATTGGAAGCGTTGCTATAGTAATTGACAATTTAAAACTTTTGAAGTCCTCAAAATGGCTGCTGTAATAGGAAGCTGAAACTCATGCATTCAATGTGAGTGAAAATAATTTCCCTCAATCAAAAGACCAACTATCCGTGCGATTCAGAACGATGAAAAATGACAATTCACAATAAAATATTAAATCTTTTGAATGGAAACATCCTCAAAATATCATCTAAAACAAGAAGCCGAATCTATGAATAGACTGTACATTATAAAAGTCTACAGTAGAGAGATTTTCCGGCATCACTTCAACCACACCAATTTGATTAGTCAAGCCTAAATTTGAGTCGCACTGACTTAACCTTGATCTCTTGAGCTATTGGTATGAATAATTGTATGTAATGGATAAATATAGTTTACTAGCATATGCCGCAGTAAGCAGAGTCACTCAGTCACTTAGCAGCTGAACCTTCGAGCTATGTGAAAGCCTAGAGGACTGTAGTTAGACTTAGACTTTACCTCATGCAAAATAGAAAACCCAAAAGGTACCAATGCAAATTATCACCCTCTTAATCGTGTGGAAATCACTTTGGTGTAATATTTTTGGGGGGTTTGTTCCTACAGGGGATGCCCTTCCTTTTGCAACCACCTGGAGTTGGCGATGCGGTTAAGCGTCTTGCTCGATGACACAACAGTAGCATGTTCTGAAGCGAAGGTTAAAACAGTTTGACCCCTAAATGACAAGGACATGATATAGTTAGGCCCCAGTGCAGATTTATTGTAAAATCAGCTCCAAATGAGGCTGCTTCGTCCTGTTTGTATCTAATTATGCAGCATTTTTATCGTCTAAGAAGCAGGAAGTGTGCTGTTAGCATGCTGGTCGGCGACAAAACTCAGCTCCGGGCCTCTGAAAGCGTCGAAAATCGCTTATAAGCTTGTAATTAAGATATCAGGACCGTGCCAGGAAAGCGAGTAATAACTTTGGACCGCTGCGAACCATTTGAAATGAACAAGCTCTGTTTTCAGGTTTTTAAATCCATAAATCTGTTTTTAAACCGTGTCGGCCAGCAGCGCCTTTAATCTGACCCCAGAGATTGTATTTTGATTTCAGCACCTCTCGTTCAATGGCAGACATCCTTCGTCGTTCGCCAATTTATATTAAAATTAGGCACTGAGTCACTATTGAGCAGCTCAGAAATCAGAAACACGAGCTACAGCTAAAGACACGAAGACACCCCCCAGCACTATGTCATCGCGGATTTGGATCAGCGTGTTGACAAACATTCTACCAACACTACTCAGCGTCCGAAATTTACCGGAAAAATAAACCCAAAGACAGAATAAGAACAGGTGGTACACAGATTTCCCTTTCATATTCATTACACGGCCAAATGATGTTCTGCTATATTTACGGACTGATATCAGCTCCTTAAGCTCGATTCTCCGGCGGCGTACAGTGTCTGGGCCCTCCGCAGATGCACACACTACAAATATGATTCATTCGTTTCAGCTTACTGTTTATAGACGCCATTTTGAGGACTTTTTTCCATTAAAAAAAATAGAAATTTAGGTTTGAATTGGTAGTCACTTTACATATAGCCTATTATTGATCTATTATAGTGGTTCATACTGGACAAAAAGAGAGAAATTACACACCAAATATTAGAATTACATAAAAATTTGTCTTTCAGAAGGATGGAAATTAGAACTGCTGCCATAGCTATTAAAAACATAACATTATCTACCTTTTTTAATGGTGAAAAGTTCTCAGAATGCCACATATAACACTAAGCTTAATCCCCATCAATAATAATAACGGATCAGATTTTATATAGAGCTTTTTTTGGACACTCAAAGTTGCTTAATAGGCTGATAAGATTCAGTATCTAGAACTCAGTTGAATGATGATCAAAATATATAGCTCAAAATGCACTAATTGTAACATATTAATGATTTATTTCTGCTTGCCTAGGTTTAGTTCAAGTTAGTTTGAATGTTTTAGGTCATTTTCAGCTGAGAGAAGGCAAAAGTAGGAGGAAAAGGTAAGAGTTATATCGTAAGCAGTTTGGTGGTTTGCGGACAGAGCTGTGGACAGTAGAGCAGAGCAGTGGTGTATTTTTAGGGCCATGTTTATTTGTGGCCGGTGAAACCCAGCCGGGGTGTATATCTACCATCCTGCCATCCCTCTCCTCTGCATCTGTTCAGGTCCTTCACACTGTCAGGGGGAGCTGCAGCAGAGCTTTGGCTCCACACTCACAGCACAGAGTCCTGCAGCTCCAGGTGTCTGCTCTGGCTCTTTAACACTGACTATAAGGAGGAGGAGAAGCTCTGTGGGCCTAAAACACTTCAGTGAACAGAAAACCACTCCCATCTTTACCTCATCACATACATATGGTGATATAACAGCACTCACATGACCTTCAAACAAATGATCAACTCTACATTCAGCTTATTGATATTATATGTAGACTATTCACTAAAAGCCAGTCATTTACAATTTAAGAGACATTTAAGAGTCAAAGGTTTGTTTAGGACCATCCTATGGCACAGTCATTATCACTGGAGGTAATTCAAAGCCTGATGCAGATCAGCAGGAGGTCTACGTCTGTATAAGAAAAATGGACTTGGTGTAGGTTTACAGTTGTTCAACAAGAGCCACAGCGCTCAGTCAGCCACGGCTAATTGTTAGCTTAGGCTGCTAAGTGTGTGTCTGCTCACAGTGATGTAAGTGGCACATTTACATGAAATAAATGAAATTATAGTCTCCATGTAAACTTACACTTTGAAAAACATTGCCTAAGTTTATCTGTTTTTGTTGGTCTCTTTTTAGAGGTGGATGTTGTGGCTTTTGTTGGTTCATCTGTGACAGTTAAAGACGTGCACCTGGTACGCCAGGTGGTCTCTATGGCAACAGCAGTGTGCTGCTGTAGCGCCTAAAAATAGCAGCGCAGTTTACATCATAGAAATATATTTTTTTAATTTTTATTTTATTTATTTTTTTTAAATCAAACTTCATATTTGAGACTTCACCATAATTTTACTACAGTTAACAGTTTTTACATAGTAATACATGATGCAGAAATGATGTGTTGAGTAATACAGTGATACACCATTGTGCTGGGAGTTTCAGTGGTTATTCTAACTTTATTTTGACTGAAATAGTTTAATTACTTATGGGTCTGGATTTTGATTTTGATTTAAGTGTAGACTCGCGTATGGGGAGGGGAGATTATATTTAGACAGCCTTCGCAAGGCAATCAGGGGTAACTGAAAGACAACACTGAGAAAGTTCCACAGCCTAAAATATCTGCCCACACAGCTCCAGCAGGACTGAAGTGCCAGGTGCGGCACAGCTCAGTCCCACAGGACAGTCTGACCAAGGAAATAGTGTTCACATCACACCATCATACTTAAGTTCTGTTGATACAATAGTAGCGAGTGTGCGTTTGTGCGTAATTACGCACAGCGGCACAAGGATGAAACGCTCAGTTCCATGCGCACTGATTCAACCTACCTTCCTCTGCTGTTTCTCCCAGGCTGGATCTAGCAACAGGTCCCTGTCCCAGTCTTCCTCTTGGGTCATGTACGCTTCTTCATGGTGGATCGTATAGGAGTTGCTGTATGTCATTTGGGTTTCGACAGCTGTCATCGTGCCGCCTCTATCAGGACCGCGAGTGTCCCCCTCAGTTTAGACTTAAAAAAATATTATCAGCAACAGAACCGCCGCGACGCGAGGGGGAGAGTTGGGGACTGCAGAGACCAGACTCCACTGGTACGAGGTGCCTGTGCGGAGGTGGTGCTCCCACTACCAGAAGACCCTGCGGCCGGTGCTCCTTTCCTGGTCAAAAGTGGCACACGTGACCGCACCCCAATAAGTATGGGAACCAACTGTGTGGGTATCGGGTTCAAACCCTAAAAAGGTGTAAAAGGCGTGGTCCTTTGACATGGGCAGCAGTCCGGAGGCCCGGGAGTGGCTAACACCCACGTCAATCACGCCCCTTCACACCATAGACGTTTTATGGCCTGTGCCGTGCACCTGTCGCTGTTAGTGACCCTCAACTGTAAACCCAGGTTTTATGAAACTAAAACTGAAAATATGAAATGACTTAAACCCCAACAATCCTTATTAAAACATATAGGCAGATAGAATGTTATTGGTTGTTCTAATGAATAAAAATTTAATAAAATGCATTACGCCAAATAGATGAGAAAAAAATATAGTTTATTAATGTCTTGCATGCAGAGTCAAATATACCTTAGAAATATACAGATTAAATGCAATAGGCTAAATGATACAATAATCGATTTGTCATTCACAGTAACTAACATTTTTGTCCTTGAAAATATCCCATCCTTTGGGACACACATTCTCCAGACACTTCACATGTGTCTCATCATTTTAATTACAGCCATTTCAATTACATTTGGCCTGGTCTGATAACCTACATGTAAATCTTAGGCTACTGAAATGAAGGTACCATTTATTTACATTACACGGTCACACAGTAAATGTACAGATTATACTGAAGAGGTATTGCTGGCTATTGGACATAAGACCAAAAGGTAGACACGATGATTTGATGTTAAATATAAAAACATAAAACTGCAGCATCTAGAATGAATGGATCACAAATGCAGATATATTTATAAATGAGGTATTTTCTACTGTAAACCCTACTGCTGGTGTCTCTTTGTCAGCAGTCTACTCACTTTGTGCTAGAAACAATTACACCAATCAGGCATACATGTCTGCTATTGAGAATATACTGTAAAACATTCAAAAATATCCTATGAAATATTCAGATCTTTTTATATCACAACTGCAATTCACGTCATCTGCTGTAGAGCTACAAGGACGTTACAATTATGAAATCACTTATTTCTGGAACCAAAGTTACATTTCTGGATCCAGTGTTTGCATTTTGTTAGATTTTAACTCCTGTGGTTCGTATAATACTGTTTTGAATGAAGTTTTCCTACACTTTTCAGGTAAATCGTGTTTTTTCTCACGGTTGAAATCTTGGACTAAAAATAAAAATTCTCAAAGTTGCAGCGTGTGTGTAATCTGGTTAGTTCTATCATCTGCTTGTCTCCATGAAGATGCTGGAATGTTGGTTGGCTGGAATGTTCCACAGTATGGCATTAAACTTAAGGCTAAATCCATCTCCCTGAAAACAACCAAATCAAGACGAGCTATGAGTCAGTTCTGTGCAGATGCGGGCCCACTCACAGTACATTTTCATATTTTTCGGTGCATTTCTGAGCAATAAAAACATCTGTAAAATGTCGTACTGTGGATCATTTCAAAAACACAACATCTCTTTGGAGGCAAGGAGGTAGAGGACCCTCCACCACAAAAATGACCACTGGACAGAGGAATGACACGACATAAGCTGCCATCTTGGAGTGGTACTGTCTAACCAGCACACATAAGCTTTACCAAACTCAAATCCTTGCGCTAGATGAACCTTTCTACAAATTTATTCAGTTCATCTGAGTGGTCATGATGCCTGATTGGTGTATACTGGCCACACTGTTTTCTAAATGTCATTCAAAACAAGGCAATATGGTCTATGTTATATGTTGTGCTAAAACTGATTGTTCTTCTCCTACATTACAGTGATCTCTACAGATCCAGCCACAGCAGACAACGACCGTAAAGAAAGAAGAGTGTTTTTTTGAGCATCTGGACTAGAAACTGCACAATCTTGAGTCAAAGCACAGAGACAAATCGGGAGAGGGAGTGAGGGGGGCCGGGGTGTGCTGTGAATTCAGACCAGGGAGGGGGAGAAGGGAGGGGAGGGATGCAGACAGGCGTAACTGAGATCACCCCAGCGGCAGAAGACGAGGCTGCAGTCAGGAGGCAACTGGAGCCAAAACGCTGAACCAAAATGTTTGAGCTATGAAGCCTGGATCAAAGATTTACCAACAGAACCACACAGGCAAATGTAACTACTTTTAAAAAAGAACTATTCTACTGGAGAGCTTGTCATAGAGAAGTTATTGCTTGTCTCGGTGGAGTCAGATCTGTGGAGATGCGACCCCACTCACAGAAAGAACGCATGTAAAATGACCTGTAATTTAACAAATACAGAATAGATACACTACCGGTCAAACGCTTTAGAACACCCTAATTTTTCCAGTTATTTATTGAAATTCAAGTCGTGCAAGTCCAATGAACAGCTTGAAATAGGACCAAAAAAAAAAGATAAAAGATAACAAAACGCAAGGCCAAGCTCTGCCAAAACTAGAGCAAAAAAAGAACAAGATGGTGAGCTTGAAGTGTTCAGCACAGTCTCCAGATTTAAATTCCATCGAGCTGGTTTTGGGATGAACTGGACAGAAGAGTGAAAGCCAAGCAACCTACAGGTGCCACACATTTATGGGAACTTCTGCAACAGACTTGGGAAGAACTTTCTGAAGAATATTTGAGTTCTGTTGTAAATAAAACGAGCCACGAGTGTGTTCAGTTTTTATATCTGCCAAAGGTGGACACTTTGATGAATCAAAAGTTTAGAATATGTAAACAGTAAAAAAAAAAAAAAAAAAAAAAAAACAGGAAAAAGTGTGGTGTTCTAAAACTTTTGACCGGTATTGAATATTAAAGGCAAAGCATTAACATCTCCATGAAGACTCTCTAACAGAATAGTGAATCTCTAATACACTATGAAATGTCCTATCACTTTCGCTGCTTTTGAAATGAGATACCAAATTGTTTTCACTGTTGTGGTCTATTTGTCTTGCGAAAAGGTAATGAAGACAGAAGGTGAAAGAGGTTTGTAATTAAAATTCTTTAGTAGTAGCTGCTATGTCATACTCCCAGTACTACTCTCACTGCTCATATTATTATCCGCCTTTGCGTCTTTTTATTCAAGGTAACTTTGGTGCAGGAACATTTTGTGCCTCTGTTAGAAATCCAATCACTCCTGGTAGTTTGTAGCTTCCTCACTTTCAGATGTAGGACTCACCTTTTGATACCAACACATCCACGGGGTTCAATTCAATACCTGAACAAAAGGATCACTGTTCTCAATGGAAACTGACACACATTTAGTTTCATGAGCTCTAATATGACCAGAATGTACAGTGCTACTTGAAATACTCTATGTTATATTGAAGAATTTCAGATTGGCACTTCCCTGGCGAAGAACTGCACATTAAAATAAGAAAATTTATTTTGGCTGCAAGGCAAAATGTGTGCTTCTGGGCTAGCAAAAGTACAGCCACATACCCAGATCCAAAGTGTCAAAACGGCGGTGACGGCGAGACAACCATAAAGCGCAGTAAAGTAGTAGTGAACGGCGAGAGGTAAAGGACGCGACAGGGAGGGCGGGGCAGTGAGGCGGGGTCAGAGGTCACAGGTCGGAGAGGGAGAAGGAGAGGGCGGCGAAGACGGCGGAGGAGCACAGGAAGTGGACTCCAGACCTGCCAAGCCTCAAAACAACAACCAGAAAACAACAACCAACCACATGCTCTCTTCATGTGCAGCTGTGTCCATCAATTTGCATAGAAGCTTCAGATTTTATTACAGCCACATTTGCACTTCATTTGCATTCACAATCGAAGCACGAGATTTAAATTCATCTTAATGTTAAAAAGTTAAAGGTACAGTATGATCATGCCATACCTCTAGGCCAATAAGAGTCAGGTTTGTGGAGATGCAAGCCTGCTCACGGTAAGAACATATGTTTTTAGAGTGCAATAAAGACAGCGAAAATCAAAATCATCCTTTTATCCTTTTATGAGTATTCCTTTTTGAGTGACCTTTATTTATAAATCACTTTGAAACACTGCAATTCATGTGTCAGAACTCATTTTTATTATATCTTATTGCAATCTAGGTGTTTTTAAGACTTCGTCCAAACAAGCTGAGGGTTAATATCCACTGAACTACACGACTCACTGGTTGTTGATACAGGCTTTTTCACAGCTACAAGAAAAGTATTCACCTAAAATGGATCTTTTTCTATTGATTGCATTTGTGAACACAGCAGAGAGAATACAAATGTGCTCACGTACTGAATTGCTGGACTATTGGACCAGTGAGATAAGGGCAGCCTGCACAAAATGTTCTGAGATTGACTGCTATACTGCACTTTTATGTGGGTCTATTCTTCGACTTTTTATAGATTTTGCATGTACTTAAATATGCCCTATGTAACTTTTCTGGAGGAAATATAGTGTGCCAGCAGCTTGTCTCCATGGAGATGTTATTGATTTGCCGGGAATGTTTGGCGGTATTGCAATTAACTTAGGCCAAGTTACCAGATGAATTAAAGGCGAGTCTGCACACAGTAAGGACGCATGTATGTTTTTCAAGGTGTTTTGTGACTAGGAAAACATGTAATGCAATGGGATAAATGCAAGATACGTTTAATACCATACTGTGGAACATTCCAGGCAAAGCAATAACATCTCCAGGTTCTATATTACACAAAACTGATTGTTGTGAGCCATGTTAGAATGTTGTACCTCATCAAAAACAGACCTGGAGTTGTGTTTTGTTTCATTCACACATGTCTGAGTAACTCTTTATTATTAGTCTGTTCCACCTTGTGACGTCATGAAGCGGTAGTTTTCATGTTAACCGCTACCTTTTACTGTACCTTTTGTTCATTACAGATTTGAAATTTGAGGAGTGAAACATAATGTCCCAAGGTGTAAGAGAGTGTTTTCATTGTGAGAGACGTTCTGTAAATATGAGTTTGTGTTAAACATGAGTGATTTAAACTAAGGACTGACCGATATATTGTTTGGCCGATATTATCAGCCGATATGGGCAACTGCAGACATCGGTTATTGGCCTAAATCGTACCGATATGGGCCACGTGGGTATGTTATACCTCGTTATGAAGCTTAGACTCTCTATTGCGTCAAATATGTTACACTGATATGTAAATGAGCTGTGATTAGAGGTGTGAATCGGCATTTACACATATAGTTAATTACCACGGCACGCATGATGTAAATACATCTCTTAACTCCTAAACATTATTAGCGGTAGTTTACTTTGTTTACAGGTAAGAATGTCATGCCAAAATGCCATTATGCCGACCTGCTGTCTTTAAATATGACGTAAAGAGGCAGAATAACAGTAAATATCACCTAAACAAACCCAATTTAAAATCTAATAGAGTCAAGATTGAAGATTACCAATGAATTTTAACGTCACAAAATATATTGGCTTGTGTATTGGCTATCAGCACTTAGCACCATATCAGTCAGGCTCATTTACAAAGCACAACTCCAGGTATGTTTGTGATGAGGAAACAACAAAACAAATCTGAAAATAGAGTAATATCGGGCTTAAATAAATGCATTACTAACCTTTTTGTATTGTATATAGACCAATGCTTATCTATCTGGACCTTATAAGGCTTTTATATGCAATTAGTTTCGCTTAATTCTCCTTTAAGGCTCTTGTTTACATTTATCTAATCAATTACGGGCCTTTTATTCAGTATTATGTAAACTGATGAACACAACTTCATCACTACACTGCATATTTCCGAAACAACAATCACGTGAGAGAGAAAAAGGGACTGTTTGCTCCATCAGATACAAGTGAAGGGTTGTGGACGAGTGAGCAGAGCGGGAGAATGTAGGAGAGAAAGAGGGGAAGGAGGGAGGGGTGAGTTGGTGATTGAGCAGGAAGGTACAGGTCAAAGGTGAAAGGTCAGGTGAGGGGAGAGGTCAGGTAAGTGCTTTTTTTTTGGTTTTTGGCTGTTTTGTTTTCATTTACCTTGAAGGTCCGAAGACAGAGAGAGAGAGAGACTGTGGATGCGTCGCGCTAAACATCGTCCCCATCATGGATCACGCTTCCGGAAGGTGGTACCTATTTCAGTTGAGATAGTTAGTCAGATCTGGACTGTTTTTTTTTTTTTTTCACTTTTTGGATTTTTTGTATTGAGCGAAAGAGTTACAGAGAGTATCACGCATGCAGGTAGGTTTAAGAGTAGAGAGTAGACACAAGGACACACGGAAAAGGGGAGAATTTGGTGCAGAAGGGAGACCAGACCAAAACCAGACCAGACCAGACAACCCAGAGGTAAGCCCCGTGACAGAAAAAGCACTGCTCCACAGATCAAAATGTAGCCATTCTATCTGTGCGCCTCTCACCAGCTCTCAACGTGAACTCACTGTGCTGTTTACCCTCCCAAATGTTTGAAAATTTGCACAAATGTGATCTCAGATGTGAGCTCAGAGTTAAAGAGGCTGGAGAGAGAGATGGGAGCACCGAACCGCACTTGTCTGACCAAAGAGGGCAAAGCTGGGGCAGCATCTACACTTGTGTCCCCCTGGATCCTCAGTCAAAAGGGTCTGGTAGTCGTTTTACTGAGGAGAAACAGACAGTGCAGAAAGACAAAGAGGAAGAAGAAGGGGAAATGTCCGAACCCTTGCTTTCTTTTACCACAGTAGTCAGCCAAACATTCTTTATTATCATTCGAGTAATGATTATAGGATACATATTCTCAGTAAAAAGCATGCCGGATTTTGTTCTTTTCCTAAAAAAGAAAAATTAAATACTTCTCTAAAAATACGGTCTTAAACATGGCAAACAAGACATTTCGCAAACCACATATTTCTACAAAGGATGCAACTGGTATGTGTTTGTATATAGGACACACAAAGATTACACTGTGAGATGCAAAAGTCACTTAGCCACTAAAAACCACAGGGGGGAGGGGAGGGGTACGTCCATGTGCCCAGACCGCTGTCAAAGAGTCTTGCAAAAAATATTTCTCCATTATATAGAAAAACACTTCATGGAGAACGAGACAAGTGAGATATGCCCTCGAGAAATGAATGAATATGTAAGGTTTTCAAAGACGCATAACTCATTTGTCTGATTTTTTTGCAACTACAATTTGAAGCACGTCTGATTTAAGGAGGATACTGCTAAAAGACACTGCCCCATATCTCATGTCATTGGTGCTATCACTGTTGTTCGCTCATATGAACCTTTAAGGCTCAAGTTGTGGCTTTTCAAACCTATTACACGAAAGTTAAACAAGTGCAAGTACGTAGGAAATGCTCCTGTACCCTCTTTTGAAATGATTAGTAAAGTAAAAAGCACTTAAAATGGGAGATCCCTCCGCTTAATGCACTTCACTCAAAGCTTATAGGCACATAGTTGTCATCACATAAGTCTATAGAGGATGCAGTGTAAAGATCCTTTGTAAACAGCTCATTCAGTAGTCACACAGGGGCCTTTGTACAATTACTGCGCCCCACACTGACTTGTAAACTACATTAAAAACAAAGAACACATTATTATTATCATCATGTACTAATTTAAAAAAGGCATCTGAATATGTAGGACATCCAAAATATGTACAGTCATAGTCCTCCCAAACTAAAGCGCTGACTCTGCAGCTTTGGAGCAGAGCTGCTGACTGGGTAAAAGTGAACACAACAAACACTGAAGGGGGCGTGTCGGAGGTAGGCAGCTGTAATGAGAGCTGAAGCAGTGTCTTTCAGAGGAGAGGGTGGAGGAGAGGAGCGCTCATACATTACAGTACGTTTAACATGTGCTTCACTATTGTCTGCAAGCCGCCACTGGAGCTGCTGCGCTTGTGCACTGCAAAGTCAGGAGCCCAAACATCCAGCTCATTCAGTCAGACTAACTTTACATTCAACACAGACATCTCCAAAGAAACAGCCTGGTTCTGCTGGCTCGTGCACAGTGCAGCCAGTGCACTGCTCAGGACTCACTCTGGTACATGAAAAATACAGTAATACCACTCAACATAAGGCAAAAGGCTGCAACGTAGCTGCCCTAACTGATTATCTAGGCCTAAAGAGAATGGCTGAAAGATTGTTTTGAATTTTGGCCCTAGAAAATCATAACTGGGTTGCAGAAAAAAGGCAATGAATTGTTAATACTGGCACTGTTGTGAGACTGGCACCGTAAAGTAAATCAAAGAATGCCCATAGACAGAGGAGTCAAGTGCTGAGGCTGCACTGTGAGTGTGCGATCAGAACCAGCCCTAGCCCTCTTTAAGCAGGTTAATACAACCAAAGCCCCAGGCCTGACCGCCACACACTGGAGCCCACACACACACATTCACACTACAGCTGCTGAGGAGGTGGGGGCAGACGGGTTTGGGGGGAGGGCAGTGCGACTATCGGAAGGGGGGCTCAGGCGTGTGAAGGGAGAGTTCGGGGCGGCGGAGGATGGCCTCCTTGCGCGTGGGCGGCGGCAACGGCGGCTCATACACCCTGGGCGCAGCCATGGCAGCCGCCACTGCTGCGGCGGTGGGGACCACTGGTCTGAGGGCGTCCAGCGCAGCCACGGGCCTCAGAGCATCCAGCGCCGCCACAGGCTGAGCGGGCATCGCAGGGACAGCGGGTACCGCGGGCACAGTCACTCCAGGCATCCCAGGAAGAGCCATGGCACCAGGAGGAGGGTAGTACTGGAACTGAGGGTACTGCTGCAGCTGCTGGTAGTACTCCGCATAATACCTGAGAGATATGAGGGAGGAGTTTACACAGTCCTACACAGGAACAAGCGCTCAAGTTACTGGGAAAATACAAACAGTAGTTTACAATAATGAAAAACAATTGTGTGCTACATGACGATCGGGCTTTTGTTGTTCTACCTGGCCATGGGGTCCTCTGCGGCCTCCACTGCCTCCTCTGCAGCGCGCCCTGCTGGTGTGGGCAGGAGTGGTCTCCGAGGCTTTGCTCTCTGGTACATGAAGGGTTTGATGACAGGGTCTGGCAGCAGAGGGGCTGACCTCCTCAGGGGGCTGCGGTCCCTCTCTCCAGACTTGGCCACTGCAGCTGCAGCCGCCGCCACCACTGCATTCTGTTGTTCCGCCACCACCTGCTGGCCCTGGGCGAAGTAGTGTGCCTGCCGCGCAGCCTCGAATAAGGCCGCAGTGGGGTCCGCCCCCATGGCGCTGAGGTGGGCGTAGGCTGGGGCGGCGGCACTGTAAATGGCAGGAGCCATAGTGTAGGCGGGGTTTAGTGCAGCAGCTGCAGTCTGCATGTCAAGACCTGGGGCGGCTGCCAGGTAGACGGGCGCGTTGGCCATGGTCGGGGTGTAAACCGGGGTGGAGTAAGCAGCGGCCGCTGCAGCAGCAGCAGCGGCGGCAGGCGTAGCAGCCACCTGCCCGTAGATGTTGGGGGCCACTGAGCTGTAGACCTGGGTAGCACCTGACGTCAGCCCTGTCTGGTTGGCAACTGTTCCGTAAAGCTGACTGGCAACATTAGCACCGTACACCTGACTGGCCAGGGCCCCGTATACGGCTGGGTTCACCGGGTTCCCGTCAGTGCGTGTGCCGGTGGTGATCCCGGTGAGCGCGGCGTACGTAGGGTCAAACGTAGAGGTGTTGTAGACAGAGTTGTGCACACTTTGTTGGACCTGGAGGGGCAGACCTGCAGCAGCAGCAGCTGCAGCTGCCAGGACCGCAGCCTGGCTCTGGTACTGCTCCAGAGAGGGCTTCCCCACGGGGCACTCGCCAGCGTAATGCCCCTGCTTACCACAGTTCACACACGGGATCTTCCCTGTGGGTGTCTGCTTGCTGGGTTGAACCTTGGATAGCTCCACAGACAGGGGGCGCCCTTTGAACGAGGTGCCATGAAGAGCTTCGATGGCCTGCAGTGCGTCCTCCTTATTTTCCATGTGAACGAAGGCATAACCTGAGAAAAGACACAGACCGTGACCAACAGTTAGCAATGTGCAGAAGGTTAATCAAAAAGAAGAGAATATTAAAATATACTTCTCACACTGACGTGAGATTCAGTTCATTCAGTTCAAACAATGCTCAATGTAAATTCCAGACTTTGTTATTTTACCTTTGACCTTGTCACATTCCAGGACCTTCCCAAAGGTCTGAAAGAGCTGCTGCAGGTCCTCGGTGGTGCACATGCCACTCAGATTACCCACAAACACTTTGGTGGAGTGAAGCGGCCTTCCCCTCGACTCTTCCACCACCAGATTCCTGCCCCGAAACTCGCGTCCATTGAGTTCTCTGATGGCGCGCTCGGCCGCTCCCTCGCCCTGTAAGTGCACAAAGGCAAACTGCCGCAGAACGCTACAGCTGACCACCTGGCCATAGGGTTCAAAGATGGCCGACAGTTCCTCTTGGGTCGTGTCTAGCGCCAAGTTGCCCACAAAGAGCTTCACTGTGTGGCTCTTGTCCATGGCGCTGTGGAGAAACACAGACATGTTGTGAAGAGATAACATAGAGGAGTAAGTACAGGCTATATCTGATGTTAACAACCACTTAGTAACCACTCCTATTCGACTAAGTGGTGGTGTGGCAAAAGATATCGAGCAACTGAGAGCGAGACCTGCAGTGGCGTCTGCTTCGCTGTCGGACTTTACCTGTTCTCATCGGTGACCATAAACGTTTTAAATGATTGCTTGCTTACGTTGTGTATTGGTTTATTTCACCCAATCATTTCTGGTCTCAGCTGATAACATAAGGACTTTGAACGTTCTCAAAATAGCTCCCAGGGAAGACTACACTGACCTGTGCTTAATCATACAATAAACTAGCAGAGACTTGTGAGAGACAGAGGGTGCAAACAGCTGGATCCTGTGAACTAGAGTTGTGGGTACATAGTGTTCTGTATTCATTCATTTAGATAGTGAGAGAAACGACGTGTTAAAAATGAAAACCATGATCTTAATATGTTAAGATGACCCAGGTTAAGCAACACCTTGTCTTCTGAACAGTCTTTATGACAGCTGTAAATCAAAGAGGGCAAAGAGGAACTTGACACCGCTGATCGGGGCTATTTTTCGTTTCGGCTCCAAGCAGCTGCACCAATGCACGCCCGAATGCGCAGAGTGACTGTGTGGCCCCTACTGTATAACCTAAACCTACTAACCTGTCCACTGCACCCCGTGTACTGACTGAGTGGGCTTTTACATATGGCTGCGAATTCAGGTTCATTTCAGGCATAACCAAAATGATGACGCAGCACCACGTTACTTGAGTCAACTTATTTTTGCCCCTGTGGCATTTTCCGCTGGCAAATTCATTGTTAACGCGTTTTATTAAAGAGAAACCGAGTTCACTGAGGCACTGTGCACGTTTCTACATAAGGTGAAATGCGCAAAAAGAGAAGCGGGGGATGCTTAGCGGTTTCGGCGAAAACAAAACAAACCCTAAGGCGAGCTATAAAATGTAAACTAACCAAACAGAACTATAATGTCCATGTACAACGCGTGCTGGATGTTTAAGTTAACGTAACAACGCGAGCAACAAGGCAACAATAGCGGATCGATACAGTGCACAAGAAGACAATCACATTTTTGCACAGTGGATACAGTGTGGTAGCGACAGAGGACCGGAGAAGTCCGCGGACAAAGCGAAAACGCCTCCAAAACAATTACGCATGGCAACGGCTCGGAATATAAGTGCTCGGTGTCATTTACGATAACATTACGAGCAAGGTGGCAAAGATTAAATACCAAAAATCTACCATCTTACCTAGGCGTTGCTGTATTTCAAAATGGTAGCGCCTGCTTCCGTTTGGTCGTCGGGCATTCTGGTGGTGAGGGAGAGTGGAGAGGGGGGAGGGCTGCTCTGGCTGGAGGATGCTGCTGCTGCTGCTGCTTGTACCCTCACAAAATTACACATGAAATCCCTCTCCAGCGCACCACGCACCGCAGGGACGAAGGCACGTTTTGTACAGTGATCTGCATGACAATGAAACAGCCACGGGGTTTGTGGAACTGGCAACAAGTGGATTAGGTGGGTTTAAAGTCACGTTGCTTACACTTGAAAGGTGAATATAAACTACAGGCTGGAATTTTGGTTTAAAGAGGGCATAGGCTATTGTGTAAAATAAACTTTTTTGTGTTTTACCATGTTATTCATTCATTTTATTTGTTTGAGCAAGGTGCAACAAAATTCAACAACAGTAACAAAAACAGGGTTATGTACATGAACATATTTGGGACCTGGGGCTCAAAAGGAGTAGCCTGATTCATCAGCCGGTTTCACTTTGTAGAAACCATCTGACCTCACAGCATTAGGATTCGTTCGCTTGACAGTAGGCGGGTACTTTTTTAAAAATCATTTAACCAATCGCTGCTATTTGGTTGTGACGTATGTAATGCGCCACTAATGGGGCAAACTGGTATATTAAGGTTTCCCCAAATCCCGTAGGAAGAAGGGCAATAACGTCTTTCCCCTTGATAAATTCACCAAACATTCTCTTTGTTCCTGCTTTGAATCCTCGATCTTGGGAATCATTACTGAATGTATGGCTCTTCGCTGATTGGCTGGTGCCCGAACTTGTACTTCCAGCGTTTTTGCAAACCGTCTAGTGTATTCCGATTCCTGACCTAGTCACTGGAGAGAAATGAAACTGAGCGGAGGCACTAGGTGGTGCCAGCCTGGCTACAAAAGGAGTAGGATGAAGTTAAAAAAAAAAACAAAAACAGTGTCCTACCCAAATTGTTTTTCATAATCACATGGTTCACACTTTTTTTTTTTTTTAAATCACCTTTGGAGTGCTTACCTGTCACACATGTATACATACATATATGCATCAAAGATATCCAGTACATATAATCAGTATACATATATATACACATATGCATAACACACATATACATAAATGCAGAAATATATTTTTGTTTATGTCATATCAACTAATAATAATGTTAAAGTAGGCACTAAGTTTATCGTTTATGATCATACAAAATAAACAGTAATGAGAATGAAAAATTTAAGGATTTTTTGTTTTCGTTGATGGTCGTACAAACTAATAATTGTAATGAAGAAGGCACAAAAGTTTATCATTTATGATCGTACAAAAAAGATGTTACAACAGTGTTCCCTCATCATTGTCTTACCCAGAGATGTAAACTTGTGTTCACTGACTGATTCATGCATTTGTGTTTGACTAAAAATGCTCAGAAAATGTCAGTGTTCGCCTACCCCCTATCCCCGCCCACTGCTTTGTACTTACTTGTGGTTAATTACAAAACAAATAGACAAAACAAACAAACAAAAAAACAGTACATAATGTCACGTGATTATTGAACAATAAAAACACTAAATGAAAATTGAAGAAGTAGTAGTTCTGCAGGTTTGAACAAGAAGTCAGTGGACCGGTTTCTATTATTAAGCTGTATTAGGTCAAGTTTGTAGTTTACAGTGGCCAAAATGATAATCTAAGTGTGTTATAGTTTAATCCGAAACAGGTCTGACTTGAAAAGGCAATATGTTTTCTTAAGAGTTGAAATCGAAACACATCTATGAGAGAAGAGCGCTGATAATACAATAGATGGACACTGGTCACTGTGTTGTAGACGTTGTCAGAAATAGCCTAGAGAATCTTCAAAAGAGTTAGACACAAGTGAGATGCAAGTTAAGGCAAGTTCCCTCTGAGGAAAAGAATGAATAGGATGTGGTCTTATACACTGACACCTTTTACCACATTTCTCACAAAGTAATGGAAAATCTTGCACATAAGGTCTATGCAATGGTTACGTCCACAGTCAGTTTAAAAAGGGACAAGACTGACTCATTTTTGGTTTTATAATAATGGTGATAATGCACAATGAATTCCACTATTAATTTCAAGCATTAAACAATTGACTAAAGCAGGTCTTACGCATTTACTACACTGTAATGTGCTAGTATTTTGATTTTGTGGAGATTTTAAGTTTAAAGTGTAAGCAAACATGAAGTTATACTTAACCTTCAATGTCCAATATTCAATTAATAAGTACACAAGCAAAAAAAAAAAGCAATAGTTAGTCAAAGGTCCCATATTAGGCAATTTTCTGATGTGTTATAATGTTTCCTCATCACAAACATACCTGGAGTTGTGTTTTTTTGTTTTCATTCACACATGTTCAACACACAGCCCTGGATATTTAGGTTGAGTTCTTCTCTCAAAGAGGAAGCACTCTTTCACCTTGTAATGTCATGTGGTAATACAGGAACTTCATACACCTTTACTAGAGTCATTTGGATGATTTCAGCCCTGGAATTGACAATCTCTACTGAACTAAAGGTAAAAGGCAGTTGTTAACTTAAGAACTGCAGCTTCATGACATCACAAGGTGGAATAAAGCATAGAAATACTACTAATAAAGGGTCATTCAACTCCAGGTATGTTTTTGAGGCGGTATCAATATTATAACATGGTTTAAAGCACTGTGCAAAGAGGGGTTAGTTTAAATACAATGAAATGGAGACAAATTGATCATTAATGATACTTATTTTAATTTAACGGAATGCTTAAAGTGCAAATATTATTATTTTCAAGGCAAATGGTGTATCAGTACAATTTCCAGTGGACATGAGATTTGTGTAAGAGCAAAAAAATACTTTATACTTCAGTGAATCAGTCTGAACTTATTAAAAATAATACAGAGTTTATAGAAAATGACAAAGTTGAAATATCCAAAACCAATTTCACAAATGTTGAACCTGATCTTCATATTATATTAAAAGAAAAATAAAACTAGTATGAAAACTTGATATTGGTTTAAGCAGGTACTGATGCAGAGAAAAAGACACAAACTGGACAAACCTTTCCTGATTTCCTATTTCAGTAGTAGTATAGATTAGAATCATGAAGTATCATTACAGAAACTATTGTGATTTTGTGTCGAAAATAATATGCTATTTTATAATAAAATGTGTTTTTATTGTACATTGTAATTTTTAGAATCAAAATTGTAATCAAATATTGGGCTTTTCTCTTACTCTCAAAATAGATTTGGTTAAGTAATGTGACAAGACTATAATGAGCACAGTTCAGCAGCACAGAGTGTAGACTGGTGCAGAGTCACAGAGGTCTGTATCTTGAGCACCTTGAGGTTGTACATACATTAGGGCTGCACTGTGAACAGAATATTGAAGCTCCATGTTGAAAGAGCAGCCAGCCCCTCTCACTTACACTGGCCCCTGATGCTTTCACTCCACAGGGAATATGACTCTGCCTTCCCCCATTCCTCTCCTCCCTCTGCTACTCAGGTCACTCGCTCCATCTTTTGGTTTCATATTGAATCGGCTCAAGTAGAGAATAATCATAGGCTGGGGGATATGGAGAAAAATCAATCACACATTTTCTCATGTGGATACTTTTTCAAATTAAAATAGCTCTTTTCAAAATTGACATAATATATATAAAAATGTCAACATGAACTTTTAAGTCATTGTCATTTAACACAAAAAAGACAAACTTATTCCTACAAAGTCTGAACTCTGCTCCAAACCACGTGTGTTTACTGACAGAGCCTCTCCATTAAAAACACTCAAGCGGATCATTGACCATTAGACATGACTGAATCTTGATTCAAATGTTTAGTTTATTAGTTCTTTTAACAGGGCCCATGTGTGGACGCCATGAGCTCAAAGACAAGACGCTTTACACCAGATTTCACTAAGGCTTGTTTCCATCTGCTCTCCCCCAAAATTTGATTCATTGCCCAGTCCTTAAGTAGCAGTTGCTACAGTACTAAAATGTCAAACCCAATTGTGATATTTGGGATAAAGCTTAATGTTCAGTTTCTACTTCAATACCACAGTGGAAACAATCAGCCTTTTAAGTGTAAACATCCACACTGTCCTAAACTATAGTAGTAATGAATATCAGGGGAGTCCTGGCCCCAGAGGGCAGAACGATTGAACATGTTTTAGTGGTTGGAGCAGGCACAGAAAGAACATACAAACTCCACACAGAAAGGCCACATGACGCCCCAGGATTGAAACTAAGACCTTCTGGCTGTGAGGCAAACACTGAGCCACTGTGCCACCGGTACGTGACTTTATTGACAACAATGTGTATATATCTAAATGCTTTTTGATGATAAATAAGGGTCATATGGAAATGCAGTTTTGTGTTCGTGAATGTGGAAGAGTTTGATGTAGGCTTAAAGTTTACAATAACAAAAAACACAGCATCATATATTACTGGTGACTTTTGAATCACACACTTATGTTAACTAAAATAAAATCTCCATATGTTTGAAATAATAATGTTTCAACAAACCTACAAACCTTTGATGTACATTTTGGCAAAGACACCCATGGTCTTTAAACAGTGCTTTTTCAAATGTAGCCAGTACTACATTTCTACTTCCATGAAACTCAAGAATCACATAACGACATTGGCAATTGTCATTTGTGTCATTCAAACACAGATAAATAGCTTAGATTCAACTTAACATTAAACCAAAACTATACTCCGAGAATTATTAAGTAGAGTCAAATTACTACAAAGCAAAGCATTTACAGGAGCGTCCATAACAGTCAGCCTTAATGCTCCTGCTGTCTGCTACTTTGAACTCATGAGTACACAATGATATAAGTGCACATAACTCTAAACCATAGATTAAAAGCCTGTTAAAGATTGTTGTTCACAGAGCACTTATATTCTGACAAGGAAGGATCGAGCGGAGCAAATGAAATTAACTTCTTAACCATGTCCCGCTGAATAGTTTTATAATTAGACCACTGACTGATCATGTATAAGTGCTTTTAACGAGAGACGGGCAATACATCGTCTCCATTACTGAAATAATTGTTTTCAATATATGAACATTTGAATAGTGAGGATAACGTCGTAAAAATGTCGAGGAGCAGCAAAAAGAGTTGGTTTCTGCAGGACATGTATAGGCACGTGAGAGAACATATTGTGCGATTGTCTTTACCAGGTGATTCACAAAAAACAGATATTAATTTTTGTGAAGTTAAAGGTGCACTATGTAGCTTTTTAGTCGAGGGTCCGTCACCTTTCTAGCTTTCTGCCTTTCTACCTTATATTTATTTGATTACAGGTGGTTTTATAGCTCAAAAATACCTAGAAAAACAGGTATTCTGACCAACGTGGCCTGGTTTGGTCTCAGTGAAATTAGAAAAGTTTAAAGCCATACTGTGAAGCATTTCAGACAAAGCAATAACATCTCCATGGAGAAAAGCATGTGGTGGACCCTCCACCTTTAACATCCCAATTAGTTTTAAGATCTTCAAATGACACTTCGAGGAAAACTGATCTTTGTCGGCTATCAGAGGTAGGTATTTTCACTGGTTTATCTGCTAACATGTACATTCTGGCTGTGTTCACACTTGTCCTAATTTGATTTGGTTTGATCTGGTTTAGTCCTGACCTGGACCTGGTTTAGTCACGGTCTAGTTCAGGTTTAGTTACAAGTTTAGTCCCTGTTTTGATATGGTGTGTGTTCAGTCTCCGTCACCTGCTGCGGTGCACAAAGCTCCTCTTCAGTTTCTGGTCAGTTTGTTTTGTAAGTGACCCCTTCAGGTGTAAAGTTCAAAGGTCACAGGTGAGCAGCTGGTGTGTCCATGTTGGCTTTGTTTCGACCTTTTCCGGCTATGGGCCTGTCCCTCTCCTCCCAGAGAGTCACTCCGTCACACGCACAGATCCGCTTTGGGTTTTCAAAGAGACCCGCTGATCGAGCAATGATGCCACAGGCCAGTCTTGAAAAAATGACAAAGTAAATAGGAAACAGTTGTTATTTTTGTTTTGATCTAGTGTTGGTAGACAAAAAATAGAACTAACACAATTAATTCTGCAGCAACTACAGCCTTTCAGAATTGCCTGATTTGTGTACCTTGTGCACTTAAACACTCTGTGCCTCTTTTTTGGACCCTCACCCACAGTTTGAGAGCCCCTTTTTTAAAAGAACTTCCACTGGCACTTTACAGAAAACTGTGAAGAAAGTGAAGAAAGTGTGTAGGATTTTTAAACCTGTTGTTTCAAGTTCTTAACTGGAGTTACATTCTCTTACTGGTTTTGCAGTGGGATTAATCAGCCTCTGCACATTTACCAAACGCACATTGTGACAAATACAGATGCATCTATGCACTTTTATCAGGCAAACTTCAACCACATGTCGCGTAGACCTGCTTCGTGCCAAAAAAGCAGATCAACTTAGATTAGTGTTTGCTTCTCATTTCGTCTTGCTCTTCTATCAGCGCGCATTGAAGAGGGAGCTGATGTGTGTTATAAGCAGGGAAGAGCGAGAGTGAAAAGGCGAGGAGCAGCACGCTGACGTAAGACAGATGGACAGGTAGGATGTTTTAAGAAGTTTAACCTGCCCTGTGATACACAAGGGCACACTCTGTTGCGAACAAGCTGCACGCTGGGGGTGCACACTGGTACAAGACCGTAAAAAACATACAGCTATAGCAATTCTCCGTTGTAAGTCAGGTTATCATGTTGTTACCTCCTCAAAAACATATCTGGAGTTGTTTTGTTTCACACAATTCTCACCTTTCTCCAGAGTTTCCCGTCAGTTTGGACAAAGGATGAGAGCCCCGGCCCAAATCATCTTCTCCAGCATCCACGACCAAAGACCGGCCAATCACATCCCACACCTACAGAGGATCAGAAAATGTAAACACACAAGATCATATTGGATGCCCTTCCCTATGTCTCCCTCTCCTAATTATCCAGAGTAGAATTGGCAAAAAGAGCATGCTGATGACTAAAACTAAATAAACTACAAAAATGTACTGGACTAATATAATCCATGTTTGTATTGCAAACTCAAAACACTCCACAGTCTGAAAACTTGTGGCTGTTGTTCTGAGCCAATGGCCTCAGCAACTACTTCACAACATTGCATATTTTCATTTAGGAAAAGTGGATGAAGTGTCTTGTCCAAGGACACAACATGTATGCAATACCAGTTAGAACAGAAGCTAAGTGAGTGATCGCTTCTACCAAATGAGCTCCTTTTTTTACTATTACTGTTGGTGTGAGAAATGGGGATCCAAGAGGAGAGGGTGAAGACAAAAACTATGGAAAATCTGGGAGTCTGTTGATAAGAATGTTGATAATAAAAAAATTCGGAAACCAAAACTGACTAACTTTGGGTTCTGTTTTTCAGCTTGGAATCAAGAGCTCCCTGTCTCATGAGAAGGAGCCTCTAAGAACAGGTCAGCTGCAGTTAGACGTGTTTTTAGACCAGTTTCAGACCTGTTTAGAACGTCTTGGGGGAAAGGACGAGCCTGATTCATCAGCCGGTTTTACTTTGTTTCACTTCGTAGAAACTGTCTGACCTCGCAGCTTTGGAATTCCTTCGCTCGATGGTACGTGGGTACTTTTTGTCATTTAACCAGTCGCTGCTATTTGGTCGTGACGTATGTAATGCACCGCTAACGGGGCAAACTGGAAGCTTTTCCCAAATCCCGTAGGAAGAAGGGCAATAATGTCTTTCCCCTTGATGATATTCACCAAACATTCTCGATGTTCCGGCTTTAAATCCTTGATCTCGTGAATCGTTGCCAACACTGAATATATCACTCTTCGCTGATTGGCTGGTGCCCGAACTTGCACTTCCGGGGTTTTTGCGAACCATCTATTGTATTCTGATTCCTGATCTAGTCGCTGGAGAGAAACGAAATTGAGAGGAGGCACTAGGTGACACCAGCCTGGCTAGGAAAGGACAGCACATACTATTCAAATGCATCAGCTCATTATACAGTAAAATACAGTTTGTTTTATGCAAGGTAGTAAGTCTCTTTTGTACCGTGCAAATATCCTCTGCATTATTTCATCTTGCATTTTAAAAGAAGCATCTAGAATGATCCAGACATGTTCTTTTTCTTTTAGTTAGTTAGTTAAAGTAAACTTTTCTACTACATTGTCCCTCACCTGCAGCTTTTATGTGGCTATGTTATTGCTTTGCCAGAAATATTCCACATATGGCATCAATACATATCTATTAAATGGAAATAAACAGCAGGAACTGCCATCAAGCCAAGTTACAGGTCAGATCTGTGGAGAAGTGACACCACCAAACTAATTTACCAGTAGTAATTTTGAGCGGTAACATCACCTATAATGAAATAAACGCAGACTAATCAAGTTTAAAGCCATACTGGGCAACATTCTGAGCACACAACATCACCATGGAGACAGACTGGTTTGTGGACGCACCAGAAAAGTGACATAGTGCAGCTTTAAGTTACTGTATGTACCTTGAGTTGATCGTCTTCTAGTCTAAACGAAGCTTTTCCATCTTCACCGGCAACAATATTTCCCAGATCTCCGACGTGCTGCAGATGACATTAAAGCATGAATTATTAAAGCTGTCTGCTCTGTGGGAATAAATAAAACTAAATTTACAGTGGCACTCCTTACAGACTTTATTACAAAGACAGCACCTGCAGCTTGGCTATTTAACATTCCACCAATAGGGAAAGAGAAGACCTACTTTACGACTGCTCTGAGGACATTCTCTTCAGATTTACAATGATAGGCTCCATCACTGACTGTATTATGTAGAGATTTTATCACCCGCACATAGCCCTCCCACAAATTATAACTGAATTATTATTAGACAAGTGATCTTAAAAGAGTTCCAAAAGTAGAGCGTACCCTTTCAGAGTCCCCTGGTCCACCATGGGCCCGTCCAAGTGGGTTATAATGCTCTCCACAGCTGTGGAAAAGTACAAATAATGTTTTACCACATTTTAAAAAAAAGTAGTAAGAATATTTTTTAGTTGTTTATTGTTTCATCGTTTAAGACAATTTATTTTAATGTTGATGTCAATACACTTCTAAATGTTTAAATGTGCACCATGTAACTTTTCTGCTGGAAGTTACAACACAAGGCCAGGGGGCAGGTCAGGTCTGTGGAGAGGTGACCCCTTTACAGTCATTTTAAGTATTAAAACACACAAATAAAAGAAATACTTGGCCGATAAGTTTAATGCCATGTTGTGGAAATTTCCAGGTAAAGCAATGAAATCTTAATGAAGACAAGCATGTAATGTACCCACAATCTGAAAAGACCAGATCAGGGGTCATCAAACAAAGGCCTGCGGGCTGACTCTGGCCCTTGGCAAGCAAAGAGACTTGTAATTCGATATATTGTGATGGTCCACAATATTATTGTGAGGACTTTGACAAAATGATATCACAATATCACAGTTATTGTTACATCCCTAGCAGTCAAGGACAGCAAAACGGCTCATGTTAAAGTACAAAAACTTGACAGAGAGTGCCGAGTTTTCAAAGAACAGTGGATGACCGATTATTTTTTTGTTCAGTGTAAGTTTGTCTGATATGTGAAGAAAGTGTAGTGGTTTTCAAAGAATATAATCTGTGCTGTCAGGGTCAAACAATTCTGTTATACAGCCTACATGACCCCAGGCCCCTCATCACAATCAGGAGCGATAATGTGGCCAAAAGAGAAAAAAGTTTGGTGACCTCTGACTTAGACAAACTTTACTGGTCCACAAGGGACACTACTTGGACACAGTAGCACACACATCACAATATATTAAAATGACAAACATAAAAAATAGAAATGGTAAAAAAATATATATAAATATGTAGGAAAAACAGCTAAAGTCTGGTGTCAAACAAGGCATAATTATATAAATGTATACATACAAGTAAAATGAAATAAAATAAAATAGAAACAAGACAACAAGAGGTCGTAAAGAAACAGTACAAAGGTGATACGCTGATAAAGATGAGAAAAGTTACACAGTGCACCTTTAAGTTTAACCCATCCCCTCATATCTGTTGTTGTCTTCTTCATTCAACTACAGTCCTAGCATTCTGGTATAGTGAGCCCCGTACCTGAGACAGTCCAGTGTAAGGTCCCCCAGCGCGTGGACGTGGAGGCCGTGGGCTCCAGGCTGCAGCCCGTCCACGGCGCCGTCGATGAGGCAGCGCTCCGGAGACATCTGCAGGAAACGCACCACGCCCTGCACTCCTGAGCCTGACAGCATGGCCACAGCCGCTCCCAGGTCTGACAGAGGAGAAGAGCAAAGGTTTGAGCTTTAGTTCACTTTTTATTTGAATGAAATGGAGATATACTGCATCAGAATATACTAGGGATGAAACGATATCCAAATCTCTCAATACGATATTATCACGATATGCATCTCACGGTACGATATTTATTGCGATATTTTGGAGAGGCTGATATAATTGTAGATAGGACGCTTTTTTGCTTTTAAAATACCCTGACTAGAATCTGGTGTGAATTATTACTGTCATAATCTCAACAATTCAAGTAAAAAACAAAGCATTTTACGGACCCTCCACCTGAAAAGTTACACAATGCGTCATTAAGTGTGTGCTGCCTTCAGTGGCCTCTGCAGTTTCCAGTAGTTGATGACATCACATAAGACTGTCCTGATTAGAGTTAAAGGTTCATGATTAGAAACACCTCTCATATCTCCGGACCCCGCCCTCCTCCTCCCTCACTCACTCTCGTTTAGTCCTCCTGCCACTGCCCAGTTTATCAGCTCTATTTAAAACATAATTGTGGGTGGGGTTTATGTGTTTAGCCACACTTTAAGCAAATTAACCTCAGTTCCATTCTTATCTACTGACAGTATATTTTATTGGTTACAGTATTGTTTTATAATGGTTCCTGTTTTATGGTGCCTTTTTGAGGACAGCTGATCATTCAGAAAAAACGTTTTGTTTTGAATTGTTAATTGTTGGGGAATAAGTTAATGATATGACAGTACTGGTTTAACAGTGCAAATAAATGTTATAAACGTCATACCTCGATACATATTTCAATACAGTGAGCTTGTGATTCGATACGATTCAATACGATATAATTCAATTCGATACGGTTCATAAAAAATAAAGGCTAAATTGTGGCTGTGATACTAAAAGTCTTTGTTAAACCACTTTTTGTGCAAAGTGAATATAAAACACTGTTTTTACTCATCAAAACTGTGCCAAATGTCTCGCAAAAATGTGTTTCCTTCCTCTAAACAAGCAACAAAACTGCAGCTGTAAGAAAATAATTTAGTAAAATATACCAAATTAAACAATACGATATATTGATATTTCAGTATTTTTGCACACCACTACAGAACAATATAATCAAACATAATATATTACTAAAACAATCAAACTTTTGCATTTGAGATTAAATTACAAACTGACATTAGTTTATTTACATATTTAAGTCCCACAGTTTGTGTAGTCGGCTAATGGATATGAATAGTGTACAGTGTTCACATTCAAATTGGAAAGGCATTACAAATCTTCACGGGCTGTCATCGTGAACACAGGTCAGGGAGTGAATGCCGAGCAGCATTGTCCAACAGGCTTTGAAACAAGAGCTAAAATGTGTACCAAGAGTCTGACCTGGCAACACCGTCAAGGATGAACCTCTGGTCAAACTCGTATCGAATCACAAACAGTATGTGCAGCTGACTTGTGTTTAGAGAACTTTCATACATTATTCATAGACAAATAGATTGAATGTAAATATTATGATTGGGAATAAATATCAGTGCTATCATCTTTGCCGTTATTCAGCACAAATGGATTCTTTAGCTACAAATGTCACCTAATTGGAATGTTGGAATTGGAATGTTGTGTATTGTTTTGACATAGACAGAGGGATTTGTTAGTACAATGTGATCCCATTTCCTTTCTATTTTGTCACTAGATTGATATAAATTAAATAAATTAAATAAATATTTATAACATATTCTAACCCTCCAAACTAATAACTGAAAAGCATTAAACCCCCTCACATGCACTTTAAATAAACAATGGAGCACTTAATTTACAAATATATAATTATGGTTCAAATGTATATGTTCATTAAATCCAAAATATTATATCTTTGTAGGCTAGATGATAATAAGAGACTTCTTACATTCTGATACACACAGACATTATACTATACCCAGTGTCAACATCAACAAGTGAGTAAAATAAACTACATTATGGATATATTATATAGGGTTATGTACATATATTTCCTTAAATGTAAATAATCATATACAATTAGGGCCCATAAAAAGGACAATATTACACTATTTTCTGATCAAGGTTATAATGTTTCCTCAACAGAATCACACCTGAAGTTGTAGTTTGTTTTATTCACACATGGTCAACACACAAATCCTGCAGTTCTTCTCTCAAAAAGAAAACACTCTGTTCCACCTTGTGATGTCATGTGGTAATACAGAAAGTGCTCCACTGTGTTTTCTTTAAGCTTCACTAGAATATAGGTATGTTTTTGAGGAGATAACAACATTATAACCTGTCTTAAAGCTCAGAAGAGTCAATTTTGCATATTATAGGACCTTTCACAACAAAACCAGTCAAAAGTGTTGATTCTTTGAGTATGTGTGATATATACAACAAAATCACTCATTCACAGATAATCCATGACCATTGCCATAAACCATTGTGATTAACAAAATATTATATATTTTGATTGTGAAAACTTTTCAGAATGTTGCATATAACAAGAAGCTCAAACTCATGAGTAGGTGTGACAGTAAGAAAATAATTAAGCAAGTGCATCATGAAAATGCTGTTTGTAGTTGTGGTACCTTCGTGTGACCCTCCAATGCCCTTGAGTACAGCTCTGCGGCCAGTGCTCTCGATAAGTGCCTGGACCTCTGCACTCGTCAGCACAGTCTCCACCAAAACAGTCTCGGACTGCACATCCACATTGACGGACTTCACACCTGGCAACACACCAAAACAAAACACATAAACATTCTCTCATTTTTCAAATAAAACACAAAGACTGCCATGCTAGGAATTTTTCACGGTATAGTATTAAATCTGCATCTGGCCTTCATTCAACTACAGGTGTCAATATTGCAAAAAAAAAAAATTATATACTTAATTTTTAATACAGTGAGCAGGATCACCTCTCCACAGATCAGACTGGCTAGTCCAGAAAAGGCAATAACATCTCCATGGAGACAGGTGACGGCCCATGCATCAGAAAATGTTACTCCAACCAACCCTATTAACTCATCACTTTAAATAGCAGTGTCTAAAGTGACATAAATATTTAAAGGTGAACTGCGTAACTTTTCTGGAGGAGGGTCCGCAACCATCTTTTCCCCATGGAAATGTCATTGCTTTGCCTGGAATGTCCCACTGTATGGCATTAAACCGATCTATTTCTGTGAAGCCAAGTAGGTGATGCCAATACACCGAGTTACAAGTCAGATCTGCAGAGATGTCACACTGTGGAACAATCCCAGCAAAGCAATAACATCTCCACAGAGACTAGAAAAGTTACACTGTGCGCCTTTAAGTTGATAAAATAATATGACAATCCCTTGACAGATTATGTAAGACTGCAAACAAAATTAGTTGGGTAAAATACTGATGGATTGAAGGAATATTCATGTTTTTTGTTTGTTTTTTTGTTAAGAAATGTGCCCTTTAGGATAAAACATTTTGGAGATGGTTGGTGGTTAAAATATAATCCCTTATTCTTGTGCAAGTTGTGATACATTAGGGTGACCAGATTTCCAAAGTAAATGCAAAAAAATAAATATAAATAAATAAACTGGGACATCCTGGTTTGTGGTTGGTAATAATAAAATTGTGAAACGAGTGCATAATTAAGGAAAACTGTTCTGCACTCACCACTAATGCAAGTAAATATGGTCATTTTCTTTGTGTTTTGATAATTTTTAAGTAAAAATATCAAAATATGTGATGATACAGTATCAGTATATTGCCAAGAGTATTTTTTGGTGTATTTTACTTAATTATTTTGTTACAGCACTACAGTTTTGTTGCTTGTGTAGAGGAAGAAAACTCTTTTATGCAGTACATTGGACATATTCACTGTTTTGATTATTAAAACTGCAGTTTTTCACATTAACTTTGCGCAAGAAGTGGCTTAACAATCATATTTTAGCCTTTACTTTTTATAGAACCGTATCGAATAGTTTTGAAATACATCGTATCGATTTGAAAGCTCACTGTATCGAGGTATGTATCATATCGGCAAATACATAATGATACCCAGCGCTATTTTTAAGTAGCTTTTTTGTATTTTACTTGACAGGGACTGTTGGCAGGGGTCATATTGGTCCAAAATAGAGACACATGGAACATTTCTTGCACAAAACTTGGACAAATCACTAGTTTTGGATAAATCTGCTGGGACAGGGGATACAGGGCTCAAAACTGGGGCTGTCCTGTAGTAAATAGAGAAGTCTGATCACTGTTAACGACATGAAAAGGTGTGGAAATTGCTGAGTCATACCTGGTTTAGCCTCCAGAGCTCCCCTAACTTTACTTGCACAGCTTTCACATGTCATCTGCACAGCAAACTCCAACTGTGAACAAAACAGCACAAAGCAACTAGAATTTACAATCTGAAATAGCTAGCTGTGATCCCCCCCCCAAAAAAAAAACACAAAAAAAACACGTGAAATGATTATGTAAGCGCAGCAGCGTTGAAGACAAACCGCTGACGATGGTAAACAAACAAAACATGCACCTGCAGGTCACGAGGGGCGCTTGTTTTAACCATTTAACCATGATTTGCTACTTTACATGATGATTATAACTAAATGCCAGACCTTTGCTGCTCTCTCAGACTCCATCCTGACCAGTGCCGTGGCCGCCTGGGTTATGACAATGGACTTGAAAAAACAACTTCCCACTTTACGGAAAAATGAGAGGAAGCGGCTGTTTGTGACGAGCGCCGCCATCTTGGTGAGGTCAGAGGGGAGAGGGAAGGACTGGGGTTTTACTGCCACGTAGCGTCCACAGAGCGCAACTACACCTCCAGAGCGCTACTGTGGACTGGGCTAGTTTATTGTAAGGCAGGGGGCTCCAGCCTGTAGCTCTCTACTCTCTTCCAAGTAGCTCACCAAAGGATTATATAATTGTACTGTGATTTTTGAATTGTATTGTATTTTTTTTATTATTTATTTATTGATGTATTTATTTTTATTTATGTATTTATTTTTATTTATATTTATTTTATTTATTTATTATTTTTTTTATTTTATGTATTTTTTATTATTTATTTATATTTTATATTTATTTATTTATTTATTGTATTGTATTTTTTTATTGTGTTGTTTTTTTATTTATGTATTTATATATTTTTAGTTATTTATTTAATTGTATTAAATTTTATATTTTATTTAGTTATTTATTTAATATTGTATTTATTTATTTTATTTTTTTATTGTATTTTATTTTTTTATTGTATTATTATTATTATTATTATTATTTTTTGTATTTGTATTTTAATTGTATCTAATTTTGTAATTGTATTGTATTTAGAATTGTATTGTGCTCAATAAGTGAAATTTGATTGATTAAGTGTAGACGTCCCTGTTTACTCGGGACAGCCCCAGCTTTGAACCCTGTGTCTCCTGTCCCAGCAGATTTATCCAAAACCATTGATTTGTCCCAGTTTTATACAAGAAATATCCCAGATGTCCATATTTCTGACCAATTTGATTCTTGCTAACAGTCAATTCAATTCAAGTTTATTTATACAGCACATTCAAAAGAACTTCAGCTGACCAAAGTGCTTCACATACAAGTCAACAAAATAGAAGAAACAGTTACATGTACATATATACAGATAACATGTGAAAACTACAATAACAACACCAAGATAACCTGACTAGCTAGTACAGTAAAGAGAGGCATACATTATCACTTTTTTAGGTAAAATACAGAAAAGTTGCTTAAAAATGACGAAAATAGAAAGAAAATGTGGCTGTACTGACTCGTGTTAGTCATGAATGAGCTGAGTGCAGAACAATTCTTCTTAATTACACACTTGATTCACAATTCACGAGGATGTCTGTGGGGACGCTGGCCAAAGTGGTCAAAGAAGGAGGCAGATGCAACAAAAAAGTGTCCTTAACCTAGACAACATTTATTTTAAAACAGACCTCCAGAGTTCACCAACAAAAGTACAAATAGACAAAAAATAAGTAACTCAAAGCAAAAACACCAAAAACCTGCACAGAAGTCTCTCCCTAACTGGTGACACCTGCTTCCCTTTATACTCTGCCCAGCAGGAAGTACCTCCCCCCAGGTCAGTATCCCGGTAACTTCCAAAGCAAAGAAAGTCCCCTTTCAAAATAAAAATATTTAACATAAATTAACATGAATTTAAAATGAGACAAAGGCCCACTTTGTCACAGTGTCCTAGTTTTTGATTTTGGTCATCCTAATTAAATGCCCATTATCACTGTAAATGTATGATCTTGATGCTTAAGTTTGTACACTAATAAATGTTGAATGAATGAATATAACTGTACCCTTCTGAGGCTCACCGTGGCTCTTATATTTACTCAATTTCTTGTGACCCATAAAACCAGTAGCTCTCTGGCATTTTCATTTTGTAAAAGTAGCTCACCAGAGGAAAAAGTTTGGAGGCTCCTGTTGTAAGGTCTCTATATCCTCCTGAGACCTGAAAAAAAAAAAAAAAAAAAAAGTGTATAGCAATATATATATTTTTGTGATTTTCTCTCTATTTGAAGGTAAATGAACACCTTAGCATTTAGATTTTGTACATTTTATTTTTAATTATAATGTTATAACACAAAAAATGTAACTGTGGTCAGAATGATTACAAATCACCAAAGGTCCACAGGTCATATTAGTCCTGTGCAAAGAGGACTTTACAAATAAATGTAACAACATTCACAAAAGCATTTCTCCACTCAAAAGAAAATGTTACGTGATTCTCAAATGCCAGTTTAATTTATTTGCAAACCGATGAACCTGCATTTACAAACCACTGTACATATTTGTGACTCCCCCTGCATTTATTTGTGGAGTTTTTAGAATTTCCTGACAGCATTTGATACACAAATGTGTGTGTGTCTTTTCTTTCTACCATTGTGCATAGTATTTCAGTCCATAGGTTCCAGATCATTTTTAGGTTGATTGGAGAAAATGGCAGGGGAAGGTTCGTCAGCTGTAAGTATAACTTGTTTATTTCCTCACAATTTAACTTGTTTAAAGTTTTTTTATTCGTGACTTAAAAGGGAAAATTATCATCCAGGTCTTGTCATTTTGAATAACAATGCAGACAAGCGAGTTCGCTGGGTTGATAGATAGATAGATAGATAGATGTCAGGAAGTTCTCAAAACTCCACAAATAAATGCAGAGGGAGTCACAAATATGTACAGTGGTTTGTAGATGCAGGTTAATCAGTTTGCAAATAAACAAAACTGCACTGACTTTTGTGAATCACATAACATTTTCTTTTAAGTCAAGAAATGCTTTTGTGAATGTTGTTAGATTTATTTGTAAGTCATGAATTATATTTGAGAAAGTCATTTTATATATTTCTGGACCAAGATGGTCTGATGTTTATTTGATCATAAAGACACTAACCTTTCTCCATATATTTACAGTGGTCATACCGGCTTGTCAACACCTGATCTTGCCTCATCTCAGAAGCTCAGCAGGGTCGGGTCTGGGTGCTTCTTAGATCGGACGCTGCTGGAAATTCCAGGTGCCACTATGGGGCGCCAGTCACAAAAACTGTCACTGTGTCTTCAGGCAAGACACTTCACTTACAGTGCCTTGTATGAGAGTGGTGTGTGCGTGAGTGTTGGTGGGGGTCGGAGAGGCCAGTGGTGCAGATGGGCAACCTCACTTCTGACAGTCTGCCCCAGGGCAGCTGTGGCTACAGTAGTAGATCACCACCACTGAGTGTTGAGTGAATGAACAATGAACTGCAAAGTGCTTGGGTATCTTGAAATGTGTTATATAAATGCAGTGATTAATTAAAATAATGAATAAAAATAACAGTGTTCTTAACACGACATGTTTAGAGAGACACACTGTTCACATATTTCCACGCAAATGATGAGTAGACTCTTTGACATGAAACAACCAGAGATTTTTTTTTTTTTTTAGCTCTATTGGCACAACTCACTAACTCAAGCCACTCTTCTTTCTTTCTTTTCTTCTTTCTTTATTTACTTATTTACTAATTTATTTTAAAAAAGGTGCACTATCTGTCAGAGTTTGGGCTTCGTGTAGCTGGATGTTTTTGCTTTGCCTAGAGCATGGGACAGACCCGCAGCAGGTAACACCTCAAGGTTAATCTACAGGTCAGATATGTGGAGAGAGTTTTTTCAAAAACACTGGTAGCCAAACAGGTTCAACACCATACTGCAGAGCACTGCAGACAAAGCTGTCAGAATGTCACAAAGGCCAGCAGACGATGAGCCACTAAAAAAATATGCATTGCAGCTTAAATTAATGATTACTTCTTCATTTATAAAACATTATTCACTCATTTAGAAACCAATTATAATAGGCTTTTTTTTTTCAGTTACATTTCAAATATTTTGTATAAATAGCCAAGAGTTTTACCAGACATCAGCAAAAGTTATATGTTGTAGATTTCATTTAAGATTTTTGTTTTTCAAGTGTGTTTAACATAAATTAATGGTTTTAATAGATTTGAAAATTATTCATAATGTTACCTATAAGAATAATGGTGTTTAGTAAATTTGATGAATGAATCAGGTCCATCAACAGAAATTTTAGTGTCCCCTCTCTAACCACTTTAGAATTGATACTGCACTGAAAAAACGGTCCGAGAGGGGTTGCTCAAATTGCAAAAACAAATTTGACAACAATAACATCACTTTTTTACGTTTCTCTGTCAAGCATGTTTAAATCTTACAAACATCGCTTGATTGTGGCCGATGTGAGACCTGCATGTTTTAATCAGGTTGAGGAAACATGACTTTATTTTAATCTCTGGTGAGGCTCCTCCCTCTGGAATTCTCCTCCCCAAAACCTTTGGAGGGAAAATTCAAATGTAACAGGACACAGGACAGTTACAGGAGCAGAGGACACACAGTGTGGAGCAGGAGGAGGATTATGAGAGCTGCTGATCTGGAGGTAAGACTTTTCAAAGATTTTATTATGTGCTTCTCCGGCCTAGAATGTCGTCATTGTTAAAACATGTTTGTGTTGTTTTATTTGAAATTAGAGTTAATGTAAGGACAGCTTGAAACAAATTGTTTTTGACTGTCCATCTACAAGAGTGTGACACTTGTACTAAGATTTGAATGTGTTGCTTCCAGAGTCGTCTACAAAGAGTGACGTCCAGAGCTCTGCTGGAGCTGTGGGGAAGTTCATGAATGTTATAGTTGATGTTTCAGAAAAAAGGAAGATGTTTGAGAACCAACAAAACACAGACCACAGATGAACAAAGTAAGTAAACCAACTAAAATTATTTTAAAATTTTTCAAAATGAACTTCCTACTGAAACTGTTATCGTACTTGTACAAGGTGATGTGGCATTAGGAGGACTTTATACCAGATGCCCTCCCTGTTACTGTGTTTAGAGGAAGAAAAGCAGCACATGGTGAGTTTTGTTTCTGCAGATACAGTTCTAATGTTCTTGTGATTCTGTTCTGGTCCGTTATTGTAGTAATAAGTGCTATAAGTGTATTTAAACATGTAGAACAGAGTAGATCATCAGAATGTGATCATCATGTGTTATTCCTGTGTCCACAGGCAGAGACCAGAGCGTCTCCACTGGAATAAATCTTCACACTGTCCAGCTCCAAACTGTGTGTCTCTGTACTTGTGCTCTGTGTGTGTTTGATTCTGTTTAAGACAATACAGAACTGTGGAAAACTAAAGACTGTTTTTGTATTCTTTTACAGAATTAGATCAATTAAATTACATTATACATACTTATACATTT